CTTCCATATTTCTGTGTCCAATCAGAGCGCTACGATGGCTTTGAGGGTCTCCGAGCGGAGGAATGTGGAATCCTGAACGGGTGTGAAAACGGTCGCTGCGTTCGTGTGCGAGAAGGCTACACCTGTGACTGCTTCGACGGCTACGAACTTGACCTGAACAAGATGGCCTGTATAGGTGCGTTCTTTCCCCAGCATCCATCTTTGATAAGTTCCTCGACAGACCACCCACGTGCAGGCTCTGTGCTCCAAGTTGAAATGTTCAGGGACTTTTTAGAGTCAATAGGGAATCCATCACGTCATTTAATCTTGTTTTAAAATGCGGTGTTGAATCTCAAAATCCAGCCGGTTTAAGTCTTTTGGAGCCAGGACTTGGATTAATTTCAGTGAGGTAACCCTTCATGCAGTATATCATCAAGCTCAAGGAGAAGCATTGAATTTAACAGCCTTGCATTAAGTTATGTTTTATGGGAAACTAATGAAAGCAGGGTACTATTTAAAACCATCGTGTGTCACCCTTTGATCTGAAAGTCCCTAGTCACACTCTGCCAAGAGAAAGGAGACCTTGAATGTTTGCCACTCCGTGTATTACATGAGATACAATATCTTTTAAGTGTACTTTGTTTGTTTTGTCAGAAAGAGACTTTCTTGTTGTAATGAAATGCTATGATTACAATATTCTGTCTGCGTACAAGTTTATCAGCTCCAAGGCCAGACGTATTCCCAAGGAAAGTGATTGAATTCCAACCCTGTGGAAACATGTGGGAGCCGTGCAGCTCGTGCCATGCCTCCTTTTATAAATATCCCCACTAGCATATCCCCAGCAGAACATGACATAAACAGAAGGAGGGTCAACTGAGATGGACGGCTATGAGATGACAATCAGACCTCCCGTTCTGACAAAGGGAAAGAAAAATCACTCGAAGGCCAAAAGGAAACATAATCCAATGCATTGTTAATGTCACCATCTTTCTCAACAGTTCAGTGCTCGAGATGGCTGGCAAATCAAGTTCAGAGCCCATCTAGCCCGACACACAACATGACCTCATGTTTGATTAAAGATATACAAGAGGAAATATTACGCAGCATATCGTTGGTGTTGAGTAAAACCCCCGTACCTCCAAATGTGAGCTTTTGTGAAACTAATTGAAACACTCTGGTTTATTGCTCACAAGATTGCGTAACGATTTCCACAATCTCAGCTCATCTTAATAGCTGTTGTGGAGCTTTTGATCATATCACATGATCTTTATCAGGACGTGGAGTTTGCCCAGTTGTCATGGGATTGTAAAGGGATGCAACTGACGATTATTTTCATAATCAATGAATCTGCTGATTATGTTTGACTACGGAAAAGTAATCATAAAAAAACACATTAGGTGGGCTGGGGGGGGTTAAATGCAGCAACATCATTTTGACGCTAAAACATACGTACTTCGACCAAATTTTTCATTTTTGGATTTTGAATACATAAGGAACACTACTGGGAAGTTAAAGAAAAATATGAAAATCCAAAAAAACAATTATATTAACAATGGAAAGAGGAAAGGAAAGAAAGAAGGGAAGTTAAAAATGAAATCAAATTATAAATGATTCTAGCATTCCAGTATCCCACTCCTCATATACCCATAAGGCCACTCAGCAGCAGATGTGGCGCAGGCAGATGTTTGAGCTGTGAAATCTCCTTTGCCGACTAACTTGTCATGTCTCCTTTTCCTTGCAGACATAAACGAGTGTGAGGACATCAGCGACAATGTGCCCTTGTGTCAGAACGGGGAGTGCACCAACACAGAGGGGTCGTATAAGTGCACTTGTTTGCCAGGCTTCGTGGCCTCCGCAGAGCCCCACAAATGCATCCCAGAGATCCCAGAGTCTGAGCTGGTGGAGACAGGAAACTGAGACAGACTGCTGGCTTCTCCTGCTCCCTCAACGATCACCTTACACCCCTCTGCCCTTTTCCCCCGGGGGCCTGGCACTAAACATCCAACAGCAACGCTGAGACATCCAAACTCGTTTCCCTACACACACACACACACACACACACACACACACACACACACACACACATACACAGACACAAACATACAAAAGCACACAACGCATCCATACCCCCTCATACACATTCAACAGGACCAGGAATTGTGCAGTGAATGTATTACATGGGATTTAGTATTCACCAGATATCCATTTGCCTTAAAGGGATTTTGTGGACTGATCTTTTTTTATTCAGTAACCCCAGGCAATTTGATATGCAGATATATTTTCCACATTATTTTCTCTGTCACTTTTTTTTTTTGTTGTGTTATTTATTTCATTTGCACGACGGGCCTCTGCAAACATAGAAAGCGACCTATTTCAGAGGGCATACTTGATTCCTCTTGATTTATTTGTCTCAGTAATTGACCTCAGAGACAGCGTGGGGAGGAAACAAATGTCTTTTGTCGGAGAAGGAATGTCATAAGAAATCAGCCACTCATAAATCAGTTTGTGCCTCACTGTCAAACCTCTCACCAGTTTTCTCACTCAGTCATGTGATTAGCATTGGCCTTGGAATAAATAAGAGGCCGGGTTTAATAAACATCAGAAATTCAAAGAAAGAACTTTAAACCACAACCGCCTTTCTATTCTTCAAAATTAACCCCAGGCTGAAGGATCTCCGGACCAAGAAGTGAGAAGTCAACGCAGCCAAACTTACACATTAACAACGTCAGAATTACGTGGGCCTGGACAGACTGTAGATGTATATGATGATCTCTGTAATGTTGCAATAGGTATAACATGCCTTCCTCAGTTTGACACCATTTTTACAATCTCAAAACCCGCAGTTAAGTAGGGAAACACGGACTCAGTTGCTGATCCCGACAGTATTACTTGTTTTATACTTCTATAAAAAAAACATGTTTTGACTTATCAAAGTCTAGGCTACATGCTAGCCTAACTTCTGAAACCACAAGAAGGTTGATTCAGTTGAGGTTATGCTCAAATATCACAGCTTAAAATGAAAGATCAGTTTTATGTACCAGTGTCGCACAGGCAAAAGGATCCCAGATCTCACATCAGACCATTCCCATGTTTGCATCTCTGAATGCATGTAAAGACACAGGCTTCGTTGGAGAGGTTTGGTATGTTTTGTACAGATCTAGTACTATGTATTATTTTTGTTACATATTCTCCTAATGCATTATACCAATATTTTGTTTGACATAAAACATAAAATGTAAGAAAAATCTGGCATTATAGCTTTGTAGATTTATACATGTCTGTAAAAATGTTTTTTTTTTAAGCATATCTTTTTATGTATGAGGAGAGTGGCTGACACTGTACCAGAGGAACTGTGTGTATACCCTGCCCTGTGGCGCAGACAATGAAATATATTTTTTTGGAAGTGGCAGCACTGTTCTGACTACAGACATTTTGTCTCTTCAAGTTCATTACAAAGACAATGCTTTTGAAATGCAAGCACCGACTTATGTGTGTCACAACGTTAAGGCTAAATATTAGTAATTGTGAACATCATTTCTTTTAGTCTCTGTTGGATCCTTATGTCATGAATGTATCACAGACGGTATCAGCCTACTCATTTGGTTTCTGAACTCTCACTTATAGCTTTTTGTCTTTTATATTCAGGTTTAATGGCATTATCTGTCTAATGGACTGAACTTCTCAGCAACGCAGAAATATAAAAGTCTAATTTCAACTTTGGACGATGACTATAAGTTCACGACTAATACCCTTAACATGCATTCATAACCTATTAACCGAAAGTTGTACAAATGTTTCCACTTGATGTCCACTGTACTTTACTGTGCTGTTCAAATCATCGGCAAAGTTGGAATATTTAAAGCCTTTTTAAAAGCCGCAAATAACTTGAGATAAATGTCTTGTTGTAAAGCTGTGGTCATTGGAAATATCATGCTCATTCATTTTGTTTACCTCTTGACTGTAATCGCTATCAGTCATCAAAATAAAAACATAAAATATATCAATCTCTTTGAAAATTTTCTTTGAAAAAAAAATGGCACCAAACACACCTTGCATTGACCGTGTGTATGCATATTCACATAGTAATTTGCTGCTTGGGAAGTTTATTTGTTTTAAAACAACAACAGTAAGTATGTTATTTGTAGTACGTACTGTATATAGTACACTATGACTACTAATGATAAGAAAGGCACTATAGATATTATTCTTACACCAAGCAGTTTAGGTCTTGAACAGTTGGGTGTGGGTATGCACATTCATAGCTGGCACATTATTGTGTGATGTAAGGGGTCAGAGGTGTGTGTTTGGCACTGATGGAAGACATTCAGTCATTTACAAAAGTAGTAATACCACAAGGTAAAAATACTCCATTACAAGTAAAGTTGTTACCACCAAATGTACTTTCAGCTATCAAATGTATCATGCATAAAGACTCCTTTCAGAGTGTTGTATTACGAAACACTATTGTTGTTGGATTATTGAAGTATTATATTATATATACTAGCAAGTAATCAGCATTTTTTATGGTGCATTTCACCTGATTCATATACTATTTATATATAGATTTATATATAAATATAGTGATATAGAAGCATTGCGTCACACAAAATGGAAATACATTAGTGCACCTCAAATTGTACTTTCAGTATAAATTACTTGAGCAAATGCACTTAGTTTCTTACCACTGGTGTTTAGGGGTATTTGACTATGGATATCAATGACAAATTTAACATTTCTGGGGACCAGAAATGCCGACTGTATTAATTTTTAAACGAAAAAAATATTATTTAGTCTACGGTTTGATCTCTGTTAATTTCTCTGTCAGAATCATGTCTTAACCTACATCGCCCTCTATCGGCCAAATAGCACATTACATCACTGCTTTCCCATTTTCCATGACTTTTTCCCATTGGTTAACCAGGGAAATAATCCAGATGGATTCTGGGAAATTGTGTTTATCCTTCAACGCCCACCTTCTCATAAAGTAAACAGTAGAATACACCTCCCAGACACCACCTCGCTTCATACGTGTTCCGTTGACTTGAGCTACCATACCTCTCGTGCACTAACTGTGATGCTAATGCAAACCTTTGAATAATAAAACGGTTATTTGAGGCGAAAGAGGCCGTTAGTCCTCTTGGTTAGCAAGCTAGGAAAGGTATGTTATCGTTAAGAAAAGGTTAATAGCTTAGCTGCAATGTAACAGATACTGTAATAAGTGATCATTTGTTGACTTGGAAAGGTGAGTAATTCACTGTCAATATCGCCTGTTTTTATATCCGTATTAAATCTAGCTAATATCTAACGTTAGCTGTGCTAAATGTTGTTATTTGCCCCAGACAGCACAGCTTTACATCTTCTACATAACACCCAGTTATTAGCTATTTTGTAATATATTATCAAACGTTGGGTAGTGTTATATTAGACTAACGTCACGTGGTTTGGAAGCGGGTCTGGTCCAGTTTATTAAAGGTTTCATTTCCTAATGGCAAAGGAAGAATGCTTTACACAGTTGAACACAACAGGGGACACTTCAACACTGCGAAACAGGAAACACTTCCCCACATCAGCAAAGCCCCTCCAAAGGACAACAAAGGACAAAGACAGTCCAACTGCTGGATACTGGCCAGAAGATGTCACTCAGTCTTCAAATGGGACATCAGGAAACTTCAGTAAGGATCCCCAAAGCAGTGGAGTGCTGCTGATGCTGGTGGTGGGGCTGTCTTTCTCCACACGCCTCTACAAGATAACAGAGCCCCCTCATGTGTGGTGAGTCAAAGTCCTGCGTGCCATGTAGATTGTGTGCATCTTTAGTGTGTGCCATGTTTAAACACGGCGACTCTGTGTCGACGTTTCAGCTGGGATGAGACGCACTTTGGAAAGATGGGAAGCTACTACATCAACAGGACCTTCTTCTTCGATGTCCATCCTCCTCTTGGAAAAGTGAGATCACAAAGGATCCCTTTACCTGTCGTGTCTTCAGGGGGAAACCTCTCCAGTATGAGTATTGATCTCCATTCATCTGTTGCAGATGCTGATCGGTCTCGCCGGTTACATGACGGGTTATGATGGCACCTTTCCTTTCGTAAAGCCAGGAGATAAATATGAACACCACATCTACTGGGGGATGAGAGGAGTATGCTGTTTTCCACACAAGAAAGCCTTCTCTTTTCTTATTGATTAACAGACATTAAGGCTGCTGATATGCCTGTCCTGCCTCTTGCTCAACAGTTTTGTGCCGTGTTGGGCTCCTTTCTCCCAATCTTTGCCTACCTCATAGTGCTGGAGTTATCTCAGTCGTACACTGCTGCTCTCATCACTGCCACCTTGCTCATATTTGGTGAGTAATCATCAGTTTAGGTCTCTTTCACTGATCTTACAAACAGCAATTTTAAATGTCCTTGTGCTTTATGTCCTCCTCCTGACAGACACCGGCTGCATCACCATTTCCCAGTACATCCTGTTGGACCCGATGCTACTGTTCTTCATCATGGCAGCTGTGCTGAGCATGGTCAAGTTCAACCAGCAGAGGTACAGGTTGCACACCACTGGGACTTTTTTTGAAGTGTGTCTGCCTTCTCCTATGCAATGCAATAACAGTGAGCTAATGGATGACGATAGTTGATAAATTCAACCGGTTAATCATCAATTATTACTCCTTTAATTCGGTAAAAAATTGCCACACATTTGCTGGTTTCAACTACTCGTATAAGATGACTTTAATATTGCCGATTTATTTTTTTGTTCAAAATAATTCGATTTAAAAGCTCGTTTTGGACACATCTTTATTTGTGAGATTTGTTTTTGACCAACTAGTTAACTGATTGCTAGAAAAAAATGATTAATCAGTATGATCAAATAATTGCAGTTACAGTCCTAAAACAATCAGTCTTCCAACAAGAGTAAAACATGCCTGCTCATAATGTATTATTAAGCAGAGTGTTTGGCGTTTGCTGTTGTTTTCAGGCCTTTCTCTTGGTACTGGTGGCTGTGGCTGGTACTGACTGGTGTGAACCTTGCTGGGGCATTGGGGGTGAAGTTTGTGGGTCTGTTTGTCATCCTGCTAGTGGGGCTGAACACAGTCTGGGACCTCTGGAGACTTCTGGGAGACCTGAGCCTCTCACTGGTGAACGGGAGCATATTCTTGCATGGCAGTGGTAACTGATTGTGTTGATGAGTAGCGCCAGAGGATTTACTGTTCTGTGCTTATTTTCTGGCTCCAGGTGGACATTACAAAGCACTTCCTGGCTCGTGTTGTCGGACTCATCCTGCTTCCACTCTTCCTCTATGTTACAATCTTTGCCGTCCACTTTGTTGTGTTGAACAAAAGGTGTGTCTGACTGCTACGTATAGCCTTGTATTGCATGAAAACATCTACATTTTTTGGGTAATCATGATTGTTTCCTCCCTCCAGTGGACCGGGTGACGGCTTCTTCAGTTCAGCCTTTCAGTCCCGACTAATTGGGAACAATCTACACAATGCCTCCATGCCTGAGTGTGAGTGTGTGAATATATCACATGATGCTGCAGCTGTGTTTACTACAACATCTGTAAGAAATGTAGGCATTCCCTTAGTATTAATGACAGCCAGATGGGCTGAAATGTTCACTTACATTTTACTGTCTTTACAAAGTAACATTTTACAGTTTTAATATTAAGGCTTATTGTTCTATTTTATATCTGGTTCCATAATGGGCTATTGTGATGGTTCCTTGGTCATTTAAACTACGTTTCAAAAGTAATTTTGTTTTAAATGTAGTCGTTTCTTGTGCTTTGTAATAATTTGTGGCAATATGTTGTTCTTCTGATGTAGACCTGGCTTATGGCTCCACCATCACAGTAAAAAACCTCCGTATTGCTGGAGGCTATTTGCACTCTCATTGGCACTTGTACCCAGAGGGAGTGGGAGCAAGGCAGCAGCAGGTTAGGCTAACGGTTCAAATGGAAAACATTCTCACACATAATTAAATATCTTATTATCAGCATTTTATTTACTTTTTTCTCTGCTATTTCCTTACAGGTGACAGCATATCTCCATAAGGACTACAACAACTTGTGGCTTGTTCACAGACAGGATCATAATGAATGTGAGACGCAGTTGATTTGCTGTTAAGAGATATCAGTGGCGTTCATTCAAGTCACGAGGAAGTAATGTACGAGCCTCTTGTTGTTTGTCTCTACTAAGCTCAATCTGAGACACCTGATCTGGTTCGTCATGGTGACATCATTCGACTGGAGCACAAAGAGTAAGTTAATGAAAGACATATTATATAATGACCCCTGAGTCGAAGGATGTCTCACATCTCGATGTCGTTCCCGGTCCTTTCAGAACAACTCGTAACCTTCACGGTCACCTCCACGAGGCTCCTCTGACCAAGAAACACTTCCAGGTCACAGGCTACGGCATCGTGAGTGCACTTACTACTTTTTTGCACTTTCCTGCTCTGTACGGTTGACTGTAGGGATGCTACCTTTGGCCCGTTCTCAGAATGGCACAGGCGACACCAACGACCTGTGGCAGGTGGAGGTGTGTGGAGGCCGGAAGGGAGACCTGGTGAAGGTGCTGCGCAGCAAAGTCCGCTTTCTGCACCGAGCCACCGGCTGTGTGCTGTACTCGTCTGGAAAGACTCTCCCAAAGTGGTAAAACTAGTCTTTCTCTGCTCCTCCTTTGCTGTTCAAGAACCACTATGTACAGTGGTGGAGGAAGTATTAAGATCCTCTACTTAAGTTAAAGTACTAGTACCACACGGTAAGAATACACTGGTCGGCATAATCAGGAAATGTACTTAAAACATTTAAATAAAAGTACTAAATGCAGAACAATGTCCCCTGTGACTGTTATGTTAATATATTATGTATTATTAGAAATTGGCTGAGGTAGAGCTTATTTCTAACTATTCTTGTTCTACTATTATTGTGAAAGACTGCAACTCATGATTATATTCTCCATTACTCGTTTGATTGGTTTGATTCTGAATATAGTGAGAAATGCTGTCACGATTACCCAGAGTCCCAAGGGAAAGTTTCATTCATAATTCATGATTATTAAAAAAAATAAGGAAAGCAGCGAACCCTCACATTTGTGAAGCGGGAACCGTAAAATGTTTTTGCTTGAGAAATTACTCGATCGACTATCAATTTGTTTTCTGTTAATTTATTGAAATGTTGGGGAGTGTAATTTACATCAAAACATCATATTATCTAAGCTCTTCTGGTGTTTTTTTTATGCAAAAATCTTAAGGCGTTAAGTCAGAAAAACAAAAAAAGACTAAAGTAAAAGTACTTTGTACTCAATTCCAGTACGTGAGAAAATGTACTTGGTTACATGCCACCACTGATTATGTATTTGTGCTCAGGGGCTGGGAGCAGGTGGAGGTGACCTGCAGTCCCTACTTGAAGGAGACTCCGAGCTCTCAGTGGAACATTGAAGATCACATCAACCCCAAATGTAAGAAAACGCACTCCTTGTGCTCCTGCGTTTCTGTCTACACTTCATGACGTCCGGCACTAACCGACGTGTTCCTTCTGTTCTTGTGTGTTCCGGCAGTGCCCAACATCAGTCTGTCTGTGCTGAAGCCCCATTTTCTGGAGATCCTGCTGGAGTCCCACATTGTTATGATCAGAGTAAGACACAATTAGAAGAGCTGCTGATCCGTCTGTGTTTGATCAGAACTCATTTATTGACAGTAGATGTGTCTCTTTAGGGTAACAGTGGCTTGAAACCCAAAGAAAATGAGATGAACTCCAAACCCTGGCATTGGCCCATGAACTACCAGGTGCATTGAATGATCTACATCATAAAAGTTTGTTTTTGTACAATACTAATTGAATGCATGAGCACTTTTAACGACTACAATGTTCCTTGTTTTATTTATGTAACAGGGCTTGAGGTTTTCTGGAGTGAATGACACAGAGTATCGTGTTTACCTGCTGGGGAACCCTGTAAGTCTGTCTTCAGCTTGCTTCATGTGTCCTGTTGTCGCTCTTCTCCGACCAAATGCACATTAACGCTCTCGTGATTAAATCCTCTGTTTCTTCAGGTGGTGTGGTGGATGAACCTGGCCAGTTTGGGATTGTATCCTATCATGGTGGCAGTGGCGTCTATAGCCCTCCAAAGAGGTTTCTCATTGGGCCAAAAAAGAATAGGTAAGATTATTGACTGATCAGCAGCAGTAAATACATGATTTAAACATGAAATAAATGTATCTGTACTCTACTCTGTCATCCAGAGCATGCTCTTGTGCTTATGAGAGAAGGAGGACTGCTGCTCCTTGGTTGGCTGCTGCACTATGCACCTTTCTACACAATGGGGCGTGTCCTCTACTACCACCACTACTTCCCTGCAATGCTCTTCAGCAGCATGCTAACAGGTACCAGCTCCCACTGCATTACGACTGCTTTCTTTATATTGACCAGAGGTTTTCGGGGGGGGGGAATATAAATCATCATGTTTTTTAGATTTCTTACAGTACAGCCGTGGGAACATTGCAGACAGGAGCTGCACCAAACTTTTATTGGTGCCAAAATGTAAACAAATCTAGGACCTACAGCTACCTAGCCTACAATCAATGGCAACATTTTACTTCCTGTTTAGATCTCCCCCCCCCCAAAGCATTATTGGGATTTCAGATTATAGAGCATGATCAGGGTTAGATTTTCAAAACTCCTGGAAAGAAAACAAAGCAGTCATGTTGGTCACAGCGTTATAGCGTTCTGTTTGTTTTTTCACAGGAATCACATTTGATGTTCTGTTGAAAAGCACTGACCTGCTGCTCCACCCACCGTATTCTGATTGGCTGCAGAGACTCGGGCAGGTGGTGGTTCTGTTCAGTGTTCTTTACAGGTGAGACGACAGGCAGAGTAACCTGCCTAGCCTGGTTGTAGATTACCACTCAGCTCATTTTCTATTATAAGAGTGCTTCTTTTACACTATAAATCACTGTAATCCAATTTTCCGTCTGTTAGTTTCTACCTGTTCCATCCTCTCTCGTACGGCATGACGGGTCCTCTGGCACACGAGCCGGGCAGCGCCATGGCTGGCCTGAAGTGGATGGACTCCTGGGAGTTCTAGTCAAGAAGACACTAATATTGTTATGAACATGAGGGACTTTGTCTCACCAACTTATGGTTTCACAGTGTTTACATAAGTAAGATCATTTTCATAAGGTACTGACAGCACACACTGCTATCGAATCTCGACCTGTCCACGTATTTATGTGTCTCAACATTTTCAAGTATTGTAGTCTATAATGTGTAGAGAGTGCTTCATGAAACTGAACCTGAATTAGTGCAATATGGAAGCCAGAGTGTTGTTGAGTATTAAGAGAGTAAAGTTCTCAACACTTCTCATCACCAAGCTGCCTTAACTCGCAACACATCTTACATCTTGGACTTATATGTGTGTATGCTGTATGTCACAGTGATATAAGCTAAAGTGCCTGAAAGGAAGTAACGAAAAAAAAAGTGCAGATGTTGCAAGAAAACACTTTTTGTTACATAGTAATAGGCTATCAGAGACTGTATTTTCATTTGAGATTGTCTTGGTCTTAGTGCCCGGTATTTTTATATTGTATTGTCCAGTACTAGCCTCTGTTTTTACATTGTAAGACTACAGACTCTGTGTCATGAACATTTCAGTTTGATCATTAAACGGAGATATTCTTGTAGTCTGTGCTTGTTTATGTTCATATCATCAATATTTCCTCTTGACTCTATTTTGTTATTTTATTTAACCCTCATTGCAGAGCATCTTGAGATTGAACATCGCTTTTTCAAGAATGTTCTGTCCCAGATATGCAGAAATAGTGAGTGACAGATGGGTACAGTAATACATGATATGCCTCCAAATATGTAATTAATAGAAAAGAAAAGTATTGCAACCATACAAAAGATCTCAATGGTAATTGTGACTGCTTTTAGTTTGGGTGTGGATAAAACGGAACTCCTTGAAAATGTCATAACTTCTGTATATTACTACATCAGAGGCAAAAAAACCTCACTTTAAAGAAAACCACTAAGAAGTGTACATTACTGCTTACAGTCTGGTTCTCTGAGAAACTCAACTGCATTATTTATATGGAATTTATGTATTCCCAAACTAAAAAAATGATTCAATGGCTAAAAACAAAATAGAGAAAATCAGATTATGACAGATTGCTTGACATGCAGCAGTATTAACTCATTTGTGTAGTCAAAGGATGCGGCTATACTGTAAATGTTAATGTAGGAACTGACCTCATTCAGCCAAAAAGTACATATATGTACATAATGTATTTGTATACCTCTGTCATCACCTCGACGCTGCATTGTACACTTTAACAATAAACCGTTGGGCCGCCCGGTGGCCTGTTTGTGAATTGCACCGGTACGCGTCAACTCTGAGGACAGCGGCTGTGATTGGCTGTCGTTAATCACGTGTTTATTCTGAAGATGGCGTCTCCAAATGGAGGTAAATTCTAATTTCTTACCCTGCTTCGCCGTGTGCAAATTGTAAATATTGCATGTTATATTGATAAATGATATTTAATCACTAGCGACTCCTATTGTTGACTCCTATTGTTGTCTTGCACCAACATCCTGAGACGACACAATACACATGTTAGCGCTGTATTGTTACTGTTTGGAGACGTTTTCTCCGTTGGCCAAAGCATTCACTCGCCCCGGTGTAGTAACGTTATATGTACCTGAACCTTACACACAGTCTATGGCTTGAACCCGTCGTTCAGCTTCGCCCACAGAGCTGAATCTGTGGGTGAAGCTAGCTAAAAACACAGCTAACTTCGGAAGCTAGCCGCTGTAGTTTAAACGGGTAAAATTACCAAATACTTTCTGTGTACAGTTGACAATAACGTTAATAGTTCTGGGGTTTAACGTTACTCGGGCACACAACGTCATTGTTATTACTGCTGAGACTGGACTCGAGCTACAATTTTACTGCGTTTTTACAGTGTAGTATAGTGTAGTATTCCAATATACAGTAAGACATAACGAGTATCCCTCGTGCCTTTATTAGGCTTCAGTTGTTTTTTTGTTTTTCCATGATGATGGTCACTTTCATACATCTTGTATACAACACATTTGTATACGCGTGTGTGTGTTGTATACACTACGTAACTCACAGTTAAAGGCAGTACGTTGTTGTTAAAGACAGTACTGGTTAAAGAGAGTACTGGACCTAGTTGCAATATTTAGTACAAGGCCGGCTATATTGGTTCAACCCAAGTACTGTAGTGACATTTTGATGTCCTTAATTCCTCCACTTTTGTTCTTCAAAGCTCCACATGCAACACAAAATGTACACACAGTACTTTGTCATTTAGGGTAAAAACAACCATAGGTGTTCATCTCGGCTTGCACTTTTACATTATTTCTGAAACTCTGCCATTACTGTATTTACAAATATGTAATGTGCGCATTTTCCACAGAAAATGTTTTCATATTTTCTACATTTTGTGTTGTGATAGGTGACGATTTCGAGAGCTCTTTGCTGAGTTTTGAGAAGTTGGACAGAGCGTCACCAGACCTGTGGCCAGAGCAGTGTAAGTGTACATCCTCCGTGCTCTTGTGCAGTTCGTCACGATGGAAATGTGTGTTTTATGTTTATGCCATAATCTTGGATCAACCTGTAATCTCTCACACAGTGCCCGGAGTTGCAGAATTTGCTGCATCTTGTAAAAATGTGAGTTGGCTTCACTGTGGCGCTTTGATTTACACACTTGATAATTAAATAGGCTTGACATACTGTGATATATATATATATATATATATAGGCCTGATCTATGAATCGTGTTGTCTACTTAGACCTTTGTTGTGTCTTACATCACAGCCCATCAATAATTCACCCCCCAAATGGATGGCTGAACTAGAGAGCGAGGACATTGAAATGTTGAAAGGTAATGCACCAAACAGTAGAAATGGTGTTATTTTTTAACATTGAACAGGAAGATTGTGGACAGAAATAGTCGTAGTGTATAATCCTGTTAAACAGATTAACATTTTGCTGAAACTAGGTACACGTGGCACTTCAGAGCTTTCATTGTGGGTCCTGTTATCCTCCTGCAGAGCTGGGTAGTCTGACCACAGCCAACCTGATGGAGAAGGTCAAAGGACTGCAGAACCTCGCTTACCAGCTGGGCTTAGAGGAGTGTAAGTACATGAACAACACAAACCTTTAAAAACTGCCTTTATATTCAAATGTTTTTGTTTGTTACCTTTACTGAAAACACTTGATTATAAATCTATGTGACAAGTATGCACATCTTCAAGGTAGTCACATGTTACCACTAGATGGCGCTCATAGTCTTTCTGTCTCTAGCTCGTGGATTATTGGTGGAACATCCTTGTGTGCTTTTCACTTCCACATGTTGACTCGACAAAGGTGTGAATGTTTTTATCCTAATTCAAAAATGGATCATGCAGAAATTGGAACTTTTCCCATTTGAATCGACTCTCCATCTCTGTGAAACAGAAATAGATTGCCTTTGAGGTCTTGAAATGATGGATTTAGGTCAATCTTGTTAAAAATGTAAGAAACAAGGACGTGCTCACAAGAGCCCACACAACAAGTGCTGAAGCATTTGATTGATGCAAAATCTAGTTTTTAATCCATTGTCCACAGCCTCCATTGTCATAATCCGTGTGGATTAGAGAGATGTAGCTAAGTGCTCTAAGAGGAAACAATGGGTATTTATTTCTCCAGTGAAAAAAGCACATAAACAATAAAAAACTGTGGCACAGCCCCCCCCCCCCCTCTTAATGGGATGGAAGATATTAATAAATGTACATGGATTTTCTTTCTTTATTTGAAGAGATCTTCTGATTGTAGGTGAGGGAGTTGAGCTGTAGAGTGACTGGAATGTGTTCTGCGTTGGTATAATGAACAAATATCCAAGTGGACCTACTCGTGAAAAGAGAGCCCAGATGCGAGTAGCTACACATTACCAGGCTATAGATTGTGCAGCGTGTGTGTGTATTTGCATAAACCCGCACGTCGCAAATTCATTTAGCTGTAAAAGTGTCTAATCTCCCCGACTTCCCTAGACCTGCAGGAGCATGTAATCTGGCTGCTATGAAGACGTGAGCTGTCACAGGTGCAGGCCTGCAGGCTTTCGCAATCACGCCGCGTACCTCGGGATGACGGGACACAATGACGGTTATTATTGGCGTCACAGCAGCCATGTAATGGGTGCCTGTTTAATGCTCTCTGGTTTAATTTTCTCCTTTTCCCAGCTGTCAGGGGAGGCCTTGTAAATCTCAGCTACTTTTTCATCATGTTTGTGCACTCTTCAGTACCCGTAAACGAGACTTCGTGGAGAGAGGGCAGGGGGGGGGGCAGGATTTACTGCCCCTCCCCCCAATCCGGCATGTGGACCATTAAAGAGGAAGCTGGTTAATGGGCAGAGCACAATCAAGCAGGGAAAACTCAGCCACCCTACTGCAGTACAAGAACACCATTCCCCCCCACACCTAGAATACACCTGAGCACAGTTTCTGCTTTCTCATGCGTATTGTGTACTGCGCACATACTGCTGCATACTCATGTTTGTACATATGTATTAACACAAATGTGAAGGAAGGGGGGAATCTACCACTCCCTTAATCCCCTCCCACGCCTACTCCTCCACCAGCACCCCCAGTAATGTCTGTGCGCCGCTGGCCTGGTCCGGTCCCAGAGGGGCTTGACGCGTGCCTCTTCCTCGGGCCACAGCTGTTACTCCGCCCCGTGATGAATGGCCCTGTCGTGGGCCGCTGAGCGCGGGCATCAAGCCCCGAGTCCCTGGGGAGAGCTGAGGACTCTGATAAGTGCTGTTATTGGAGGTAATTGAAAGCTGAGTGTTCCTCTGGGAGGCACTGGAGGGCTACTGGGAACCAGACTGCTGGAGCTGGTGCTGGTGCTCTATCACACTTGTGTGCTCAAGGCTGCTGAGTACCGCTCAACACTTGTCCATCGAAACCAATCACAGGAAATTACAAAATTGTCAAGTCGCTACAGTGCTTGTATGGCTGCGTGACATTTTTGAGTGAATACCTTTATTCTGAAAATGTAATTATATTTCCAAGTTGGTGCTTTTAGGAGGTATTCACACATCGCTTTGCGGAAAAAACGTATATCATTGAGATCTATGAGAGTTCAAGTGAACTGTGTCTTTGACAGAGTTGGATAAAAGCTGAAAATTTACCCTTTCAAGGTTCGAGATGCGAGATTGTTAACATTTTGATTGGCTCACAACATGTGGAAGGCGAGCCGGCGGCTCACAGCTAACGGTGCTAACAACGCTAACGGTGCAAACTACGGCGAAAGTGCTGACCGAGCTAACCGTGTTTAACTGAGGGGTAACTGGAGGGTGGGGGCCGGCATTCTATCTTTAAATAGCAGATAGCTGTTTGCTGCTATTTTAATAATGTTGACCATGTTAAATATAGTCCCTTTAAAATGAAATCAAACATCTTTATAGTAAAAGATTAATCAAGCCTGAAATTTAACTGAAGACATATTTTCCAGGCCATGGACTAACTTGTGAATTTATATGAAAGCTTCGATGTCTAGGTGACAGCATCACTCAGCGTATTCTGGGAGGATGACCACCTGTAGCACCGCTGAGCACCTCTGCTCCTCACGGCGTACACCGAGGCTGACCTCTGTTGCTTCTGTCTGTGTGAAGGTGAGGCTGAAGGTTGCCCTGCCCTGACAGCTCCTAATGGGCCCACATTCACCTCCTCCTCCTCCTCAGGATCAATCTCGGGCCTATTAGAAGCGTGCCGCTGCTGAATATGATTGCATTCACTGGGCCCCACTGGTGCTAATGTGCCTCCATCAATCCATCAGGCGGGCCGACCGCGGGGCGGGCGGTTATGAAGTGCCGGAGCTGACAGCCGCCGTGTGAGGAGCCACTACCCTTCCTCCTCACTACCCTTTCTTCCTCCTCACTACCCTTCCTTCCTCCTCACTACCCTTCCTTCCTCCTCACTACCCTTCCTTCCTCCTCACTACCCTTCCTCCTCACTACCCTTCCTTCCTCCTCACTACCCTTCCTCCTCACCACCCTTCCTCCTCACCTCCACTACTCTGCTCTGTTCGTTCGTTCACCTCTCTCCTGTGTCTCTCTGTGGGCTCATAGTTTGCGGTGAATGGCAACATTGTGGTGCGTCTCTTTGAAGGTGACACCTTCTGTGTCGGCTCAGTTTTTTGTTTTTTGTTATCATGTTAATGTTCAGTAACCTTGGGCTTTGTGCCGTTAGTTCCCTCAGATTGGCTCCCATGGACATATATTTAGGGGTGCTGTTTCATAATAGTGCTGCTACTGTAGCGATTGTTCATTGTTGGAAAATCTTGAGCACTTCCACACACATTTTATGACAGGATGACATGTGCGTAGCAGGTTGCAGCTGTATCTGATAGAGCCTGTCCATATCTCAAGCAGGATCAGTGTCGAAGCTGTGTGAAAGCAGAGGCAGGCAGAGCTCAACTCACACACACACACACACACACACACACACACACACACACACTCACACACACACACCGCTCCTTGGTTCTGCCTGCCTGCCGCATCCCTGAGCAGATCGGAAATGACACCTAATTTCCATAAAGGCATTAGGAATTCATTGGATTTTCTTTCCCAGCTAATCATAGTGCGAGTGTAAAACCTTTTAGGCTTTTTAATGAATGATTTTTGACTGATTGCCTATTAATAAGGACACCTCTTGAACAGGCATAGGCTGGGGCAGGGGTTGGGAGGTGCAGATGTGTGTGTGTGTGTTTGTTTGTGTGTGTGTGTGTGTGTGTGTGTGTGTGTGTGTGTGTGTGTGTGTGTGTGTGTGTCAGCCAGGCGAAAATGCATCGGAGGAGGAGGAGGAGAAGAGGGCTGGGCCCTCTCGGTTGGGACATAAAGAGGAACCAGTGGCTCCCCTGGGAAATCACAGCTCGTGTCTGCATCTTAAATATCCCTGTGAAGTATCAATAAGTGGGTAATTGAATTTTGAACACAAACATGAGCGTCAGGTGTATGTGTTGCAGGACGGGGGGGGGGGGGGTGCTGTGGGAGCGAAGGCTGAATGTGTGCGCCTCCAAGTGTTTCTCTGCTCGCGTGTGTCGTCTCCTCTGTGTCTCCCCGGTCCCCCCGGGGAGGAGGGCGGCGAAAGAGGATGTTAAATCCATTAAATAAAGCTTACAGCCCGTAATAGCTGAGCAGCACTCAGAGATGGGCAGTGAGGGTCAGATAAGTCCTCTTAACTCTTAATGAAAATGAATTGGGGCAGTCAGGGCCGGGGTCCAGGACTCCAGTTAACCCAGGTGGTCATCTGTCTTTGGAGCTAACAGGGGTCCAGGGGCTCGCTGGGATCGTGCCACGGAGAGAGGCAGCGGGGGGGGGGGGGGGAGCGATGATTACTCTCATTTTATACACAGGGGAGTCGTGGTGGGGGCTGGGAGTGGACCGTGACAATGACACCCAGATCACTCACCGTAAACGAGGGGAAAGTAAGATGTTACACCAGCGCGTTTTCCTCTCGCATTTACATTCGGGCCACCTGGGATTTGTCACAACAACAATGATTTGCCAGACTGGGACAGGAAATCGCAGAAAACGTTCGGGTTGTGCCGCAGAATCTCCTACAGTGCAGCGTTTAGCTCGGGTGGTTCATTTGGGGCAAAAGGGGCAACATTTTAAATAGCCACGAGGCATATTTAGCTAGTTGCAGATATAGGTTAATCTCCATTGTTGCAATGTGCCTGTGCAGCATTAATCAGGACAAAACCTACAGCCAGAGGATTATTGGGCTGATGTGGGAGCAGACTGTTATCTGCTCTGTACTGGCTGTTTGTTTACACGTTGTGTCTATTTATGGGTACAAATATTTCAAATTGCTTTAGTGAAAATGGATTGCAATGTAGATGATCTAATATGGGTCACATTGTTATATACAGTAGGATGTGGCTGTGTTTACTAAACTAGCTGCGATGGAATCTCAGACCAGATATACTATAGGGCTGAATGACAATTAGATAGCAACAAATCAACAGGGCAAGAAGATGGCCCACACAATCCATAAGGTGTCATTTAGTATGGATAGCAGTGGCACACAGGATGCTGATTAACTTAGTACAAAATTAGTAATTGACCTTTCTAATCAACTAAACAAATCTCTAAGTCCCACTAATCAGTATTGATCTACCCTGTTGTATGACGAAGCCTGTATGTGCGTGCGTGCGTGCGTGCGTGCGTGCGTGCGTGCGTGCGTGTAAGTGAGTGCAAGCAGGTGGGCGTGTGTTTTTGAGGCTTTCTAACTGTCAAAGTGCGGCTCCATAGGATGCGAGTTTACAATAAGCATATTTATTCACAAAGTAACCGTGGACTAGAGGGTCATCACACCTCATCTGTTTATGTACAACCTACAAAAAATTCACTGTGGCAAAAATAACTTCTTTATAAATTATTTGTTTAAAAAAAAAAAAAAGATCACATTTGTGTGCATGTTTTTTTTTAACCATGAATCTTCCCGGAGAATTGCATTTAATCATGTTTACTACCTGTTAGCGTCAGCCTTTTTCACACAACACGTTTTTGACACGTTACTGGTATAAATCCATTTAGATGCTTCGGTTTCAGGGTCCCGGTGTTGCGTGCCGGCTCACCGTCAGACGAGCCGAGTATCCGTTCAAATGTAGCACACATTAGAAATGAATAATCTGTTACAATAATCCAGATGATCAGCAAAAGAAAGAAGTCGTTAAACCACGGCAGAGGAAGAGGGCGCCACGAGATGACATAATACAAAGAGTGTCGGTCAAACTCCACACAAACCAAAATGAAGTGTGATTAAAATATGGCATTTATGTTTGTTTCGTGTATTTACTTGAGAAAGTATTTTTTTTCGTCTCTTCAGCGGTGTGGAAGTTTCAGAGAAGATTTAAGTCACAAACTTGATGTTCATTATGAATTATCAGCTTAATCTGACTCCATTCCACTTTGTTGCATTTCACTTCTATTGATACACAAACGTTCCACCTTCCAGCCAAACATGGAAACTTTGTTGTGGTTTTTAGATGAATTTAAAATGCACATAAAAACTGGTGGATAGAAATACACTAATAGCTTACTGCGAGACCATCCTTATTATTAACTATTATTATGAGTAGTAACGCGTATTCTTTTCTTACTATGACTATATAAAAGTCCCATTGTAGCTCTTTCACTGGTCCCACTATGTAAGCTGTTCATTCCCCCCCCCCACCTGTCATACTCTCTAATGAGTTGCTGAACATTTTCCCCCATATTTCCTTTTTATATGAAGAGAGCCACACATCATAAACTGAGCTCTGATTTATGTTTAATGGGGTCTCTTAATGTGATTATATCAATGATATTTCTATCTGAGCAGGGCGAGGCTGAACTGAACCGTAATTAATAAGACCCTCAGTGGGGCGAGGGGGTCTCGGGAGTGGCAGAGCCGTCCTTGATCCATCTTACAGAGAGGGAGAGAGAGAGAAGCATGACACCTTAAAAATCTAAAATACGCTTCACCATTCCTCGTGTAACTGCTCCTAATTCCAACGTGACATCGGCGCACTTGCGGCTTCTGGGTCACCCCGATGTAATTGCTTTCTCTCGCCTGATTTCGACGGCGCCGTTTCAATCTTAAGCACCCTCCGCATGTCCAGGGGTCCTCCGGTGACTTTGTTTGGGGTGATTTGAAGAGACAGCAGAGTGCAAAATGAATCCATCCCATTCCAATTAGCATCATCTTTAACCTAATGAGGGACACCTCAAGGTGATGTGGCCCCCCACGCCCAGATGCACCATTATCGTTCCACGGCGGGCAACTCATTTCAATTTCTAACTGGCCCGGCTTTTTCATTACATAGTGTGTGTGGGCGGGGGGGGCGACTTCACACCAGCACACGGGCAGACAGCACCTGAGATCCTGATCATATTCTTATTGCAGACATCATGAAGGCGGATGACTTTCTGCAAACTGCTTATTTGAAATCAGTCCTCTCTCTCTCTCTCTCTCTCTCTCTCTCTCTCTCTCTCTCTCTCTCTCTCTGCGCTGCAGTCTCATGTGTGTGTGATGTACAATGGTAGAAAGTAAATAGAGTCGCTGAGGCGATCTTTGCAGCTCATAACAACTGGAATGCATTTGAGATGTTGATCCTCATCCTTAACAAAGAGTAATTACTGCGCCTGGATGCTGCAGCTCCAGCTCTTATAATGATCCCTGCAGTCTCTTCAGTGACACAAGTGTTCGTCTTTGAGGGAAAAGTCTCGGCAATGGAGGCGGTCCCACTGAAGACCGGTTTGACAAAAGGGCCCGCAGAAGGGACAATCCTGTTTTTGGCACAGTTAACACTCTTTGTGGTGTGTAGGGCCTTAAACAATTTTGACAATCTGTTTTACTCGCATGACAGATGTCGCTGGGAATCAGGTGTGGGGGGGAATGAGCAGAGCTGGGAAATATTTGCACGATTATGGAACCGTCATTTTGGTTGAATTATTTGTACATTAATTTACAGTTAGTGATATAGTCTCTGAGAGAGAGAAAAACCTGTAGATGGTATTTACATTAAATCATTTTATTTTAATGCAAGAAGATATCTAGTGTCTCATCTCATGAAGGTTACAGTGTCGACTATCTTTTAGACATCTGTACTTTATTTCACAAAACCAACATTTCTACTTACGACCGTTTTAAAACAGTACTGTTTGTATTAATTCATTTATTTGGAGGAATACAATTATCCAGAACTTCAGGATGATGACAGAAAAGTTAACATAAATTTGTGTCACAGAGTTTAGCATTATTTCCTCAGATTCAGATTTAAGTTCAATAACTGTATTTAATGCTGAGTTGTTACTGCTGAGATGAACGTCACTCTTTTGCCTTTTAAAGTGGTTCCCTTATTCTCATTTTGTCTTATTTTATACACGGCCATATTCCGTAATCACAAGTGGAGCTTAATAGAGACATTTTGCTTCTATTCTTACTCCTCTTGCCTCCACACAGATGCACACTTTCATGCATGCGTATGTCTGAGTGCTTGTGCCTCACTACATTGAGACGGCGATCAAGCGAATCACAAGACTCTTTGGTAGCGACGCTTCCATTTTATGTTGTTTTCCATGTCCTGAATGAACAGATGTTTGTATAAATTACCTCCCGGTGTGACACTCTCGATATTAAATACATGCTTTGCATTCCTAAACAAGCGGTTAGAGCTGCAGGCAAACGTTGTGGAAGACTGACTGATTCGAACCAACTTATGAAAGATTGTTGGAAGGGTGTAAAGCAAGAGTCTTGGTCCCTCACGCGCATAATAATGAAATACAGTGCGAGTATGTGACGTTGTGTCTTCTTGTCGTCCAGCCAGGGAGATGACCAGGGGGAAGTTTCTGAACATCTTGGAGAGGCCCAAGAAGTGACGTGTGTTGTGTTGAAGCAACAGGAGATGTGTGACTCCGAGGTGAATGTGATCTATGTGTGTTTACCGATATGCACAACAACACAGCTCAAGGACTTTTACTCTCAAACCGTTAACTGGAGTAAAACTGCTCCCTCACACACAGCTGACCTGTCGTCCTCACAGATATAGAGATGCCTTTACATTGACAGAAAATGTAGAATGATGAATTTCTTCTCATTGAATTTCTCTGTTGCTTGTAGGCCTAGCTTGATGAAATGTTCGTTATTTATTCTTATTTCTATTTTAAACATGATGTACTTTTTTTTTTTATGTGTGTGCGTGAGTGCAATTTGTGAGGTTGTTTAATAAAGTTTTAAAAAGATGTTTGCCTTTCATTTGAAGTCTTTGTGTGTGATTAACTTTGCTTCTTTCTTAGAGAACTTTTAATTAGGGCAGCGACTCGAAGCCTCTGCTGCTCTTCCAAAGTGCAGCACGTCAGGAGCTCCGACGTGAGAGCGTTCTCCCGGCTACCAGGGCATGCTTTCCATTTAATGAGCAGGAGAAGCAGGGTCCCCTAACACAAAACATTGCGTAAAAATAATATTGCGCATTGTCATCGCCTTTAATGAGAGCTGACATAATTACTAGGACCATTTCTTTTCTAATTAGCACACTTCAGCGTTGTCGGAGCAAGCGGGCAGGCCAGAAGAGAATCAGACAGGCATGCCGAGTGGGAAACAAAAAGAAGTCCATCCGCCATAATTAGGTAAGACAATGCCTCGGACTGTTCTCGGCTGGAGATGTCGCTGGGGCTCTGGCCGCTCAGTCCCAACCAGTTACACTTCTCCCCGGGCCGCTAATAAGCCCCTAATCGTCTTTCCGATTCACACGGACAGAGGCCACCATTGCCTCAGTGGCTTCACCCCCTGCCTCTCACGCGGACCCTGGCTCACCCCTCCTAAAAAAAGAAAGAAAGGACTGTATTTTCAGTTCTGTGGGTTTCTGAGAGAGCTTCCTCAGTGTGTGCTGCTGGAGCTTTCTGGTGAGGACCCCAAGTCAGGAGGAATATCGAGCACATTGTGGAAGCTAATGATGCAGATAAAGGAGTTTTGTTGGTTTTACAGTCTATACAGGAGGTGATCAAAATAGTATACTACCCCCAAATAATGTCAATACCTTGTAACCGCCAAACTGTCCTGTAAAATACTACAACTTAGCCTATGGGTCATCAAAATACAAAAAACATGTTTTGTGATGCTGTTGGAGACTACACTGTTAGCCTACACAATTAGGTACAAATGTAAGTGTTTATACGTAGTAACTAGTGGCTTTGTGAATGGTTTGTTAAGCCTTCACTGATGCTCTGTAGCTCAGTTATAGGACAATAATAAATGGTTATCCTTCTCCAGCCACCTTACCTCAGGAAAAGAGTTGTTAACAACTGCAAAAAAACTTTATCAATGACATTAATATTCAACTGCAGGCTTGAGGCCTGTTAGAGAGTGAAGGCCCCCTTCAGTAGTGATGCATTGCAAACATTTATAACTGCATTGTAAACAGGTTGAAAGTAAAATCATCAAACCTGGCAACCCACATGTTGTTCAGGTTGTGAAAACATAACTTGCAACTTACTAGGGTAGGATAAAGTACATTCAGTGTATTCTGTAGAAATACTACAAGTAAAAGTCCTGCATTGAAAATGTTACTCATGTGGATTATTAGCTAAATGCTACGTAGTAAAGGGAAAGTATTTGTTCTGCAGGAAAATGTCTTTGTTAGAATAGTATTATTATATATGCGACTATCATTGTTTGATTGCAATGCATGTGCAAGTAGCATGTTACTGTTGTAGTTGGTCGAGACGATATGAACTATTTCATAACGGCTTCTGTTGGGCAGTTTGATCTATATATGACATGCTTTGTAGGCCTACGTAAATTCTTAATTTGTGAGGTAACTATAGCTGTCAAATAAATGTTGGACTACAATATTTGAGTAAATGAATTATGGTCCATCACTGCAACTTATAAACCCCTTCTGACAGTGAAATGTTTCAAGTTGAAGTTGTTTGTTTTGGGGATGGCTGCCGTCACTGGGACTGGTTGCATACATGTTGATGCTGACTTGACGAACATTCAGTCTGCTGAGCGTTGACATGGTAAGCGACCTGACACCCACAATATGGGCCCTCAGCCAGACAGCCTTTTCAAGTAACGGGTCAGTCCCCACAGAGCTGGTCATCCATATGGAGAGAGAGAGAGAGAGAGAGAGATCAGAGCTCCTCCATCCATCCACAGTGCATTGCCTTGACCTCACATACCTTGACCTTAAATTAGCTGTCAATTAGTGCAAATTAATCAACTCCTCGCCTAATTAAGCAATGCCTACGGGCAGCTACCAAACATGCCATTGTGGAGGAGCCATGAGAAAGCTGCGGGGCTTGCAAACTCTGTCTGTACTGGGGGGGGGGGGGGGGGGGGGGGGGGGGGGCGTCACCTCACATCATCCAGTGCTTTGGGGAAAGCAGAGGCTCTGACTGTGCTTTAGTTTTTTTCCCCTGACTCGGCTCTACATGTGTGCTGTCATCAAGTTGTCCCGCACCCTGTTCCAACACCGATGGACACAGCTTGATTCAGCACGACAGAGACTGAATCACACTCAGAGGTTTCTATCCTCATGCCTGAGGGGAAACATTTGCTGTTAGTCTTAGAAAGCAGAGTTTTACACCACTTTGATAAACCCAATAAAAAAGACACATTGAAAGCGCTGGTGTTGGACTTCTTGAGAAATGTTTCTTCATGTTTATGTGCAAAATATCTATCTGCTGTGGAGGAGTTAATGCATTCAGTTGTATTTCCCGGTGCTGCTGTGACCTTCCTGAAAAAGTTGTCCTCTAATTCATTTTCACAAATGCATTTTTAGCTTTAGCAGTCACATCAGCAGGATATGATATTCATTACAGTGGGCGGCTTTTGCCTGCAGCTGCTTATCAGTTTCTGACCTGCTGCAGAGGAACACCCGTTTGAAGGTTGCAGGCTGCATACGTTTACCATTACCGAGGCCGTTAACATCATTTCTGAAGGTCTGAGGACACTTTGTTTCTAATATTGCACGATACACCCAGAAATGACACATGCAGAAACAGGAGGAGAGAAGGGGGCAGAGAAAGGATGCGGGGGGGGGGGGGGGGGGCAGATAAACAAAAAATGTCCAACAGCTGTTTGCTTTTTAATCTGCAGCCGTCAGATCCTGCAGGTCTTTGATGGGCAACCCAATCTACACGGATGACTGAACTAGATCTTCCCTTAATCTAGAGCCTTATTAGGCAGCCTCTCTGCTGCATGTAAATCAGCACGCAGCCCTTTTCATATTGGAGATGGATTATTAAAAGCCATACAGACAGGAGACGTGGTGCACTATCAACAAACCAAAAAGGCCCGTATGGATTGCAGCAGGAGCGATGATGGAGGAAGAGGGGGCAGTAACTTGCCTGTAATAGACGGGTCATCCTGACTCACACCCTTCCTTGTTAATAAATGACTTGATCCCAACAGGCTGATGTGTCATTAGCATATCCTAATAACATTGATTTCTTCATTACAATTTCCACTAAATAGGCCCTAATTAGTTTCAACATGGCCAGCCACTAATTGCAGCGGCAATATTTTTCTCCTTCTTAATAAGCAGCACATTTCACACTGTTTGATGTGCAAAAATGACGTTGCAATGCAGATCTGCCGAGGCTCTGTGTGCCTGTAGTCACAATTTGTGTATTTTTAGGTTACATTAAGATAAAATGGGATAATCCTTTATTAGTCCCACAGTGGGGAAATTTGCAGGATTAGAGCAGCAGAGTGGATATAGTGCAAACGAACAAACAAGAGACATAAGTGGAAAAACAAGATCAAAACAAGTATAATCGTCACGTAATCACACAGTAACGCTACAATAAAGAATTAAAAAAAATAACATTTGATATAGTTGGACTGAATGGCTGTTGATATTGCACAGTGGATTGCACAGATTGTGTGCATTATGTAGATCCACTCAACAGTTCCATGTTCTTGTTTTACATTATAACTAACATTATAGGCGTGTCTCTTATTTTACTTGAGATTTGATTGCAATAGTATCGCATTAGTACTTTGATAATGTACATGCAAGCCATGTGTGCAAAGCAAATCTTTTGGAAGCTCGATACGTTCACAAAATTAGCCAATCCTTATTTTTGTTCTAAATGATTTGCAACACAATTCATGCCAATGTAAACTAAAATTGTACCATAAGCAGGACATATAAAAACAGCATTTATATTCATGAGTTTAAATTTTGGCACAGACATTTTAAATTAGCTTTATGATAATGAGAGTATTCTCTCTTTTAACTTCTCAACCCTCTCATTATCTGACACTGAAACACCAAGAATGAGGATGAACTTGGTCTGCATCTTTATTATTATTATTATAATAAATATTATTAAAATAATTATATGACCCACAGTACCATATGTGTTCTATATGTTATGCAATTAAATCACAAATCAACCAAATTCAATAAGGCCATACATGCAAAGACTGGCATCAACTAAAAATGCAAATACAAAAAAATCGACTAATTGTTTAAATAGTATTGCCTTCATATTTCATCAACTTGACAACAATATTCTGTCATGATGTCAAGATTATGTTCTAGGCCTATATGACCCGATTATTCAGTGTAACGTTCAAATTAGTATTATTTTTGTTACTGTAATGATGCATACATTAATAATTATTAACAGGTCAGGGAATTATTTAATAGTCTTCCATTTGTGTCCCATATTCTGTATAATTCTCCCTCTCCTCCGGGGAAATGTTGCTGTGATTTAATCTGCTCTGTAGTCTGTGCTGCTGCTGCTGCTGCTGCTGTGGGATTAACGCAGTGCAGGACCGCGCAGCGTAGAGTGGGTCCATATCGTCCAGCTGTCGTTTTTTGGGAGGGCCTTTGATTTGCTTGTGATGAGTTTCCCATAGCATCTGGAGATCAATTATCCATTCATGTGAGCCAGTGGTTGTAGAGAGAGATCATAGCTGTGTGTGTATGTGCGCGCGCGTGTAAACAATTCAGCTAAAGGTAATACATACTGATTTATTCTAGGATGTTGAGGTAATTCTGCTCCATTTCAAAGGTAAGTAAGAGGTGTGAAATAGACGATTTAATTAGGCCTGACTATAACGAAAACTAATAAAACAATGATATATCGGTAGTGAGTTTATAATGGCTTAAACAATATTTGGTGTTTGTTACTATAAATAGTATATGATAAAACTATAGTTCCCTATCTTTGTCACTTTTAGTCGATTCCAGGTTCCTGACGCTGTAGTTCTCATTCTCATTTCGCCCCTCTCCCTGCAGCCTTGAAGAGTCATTTTATTGCATCCTTTCTCTCTGTAGCATAAATCCTTTCCTCGTGTATCCACATAGTCCTGAGGAAATGCAGATATGTATCCGAGAGGGCGTTTAATGCATCCTTGATCCACAGGAATCCTGAATCCTTGCAGCTGATTGGCTGCTGGTTCCTGCCTCTTGTTGGGATGGACCTGTTGGATAAAAGGACCATTTTCTAAAGGACACTTGTGTGTTATACAGACGATCATGCACTGGGGACCATCCTGTAAGACGGTATAATAAGAAATAGGCCTTTCAAGTAGCATCCGAAGACATCATGACGGGGAAACAAGGCGCCGTGCTTTCGGAAAGTTTACATTTATCGGAGAAAACCTCTCTGGGCGCGAATGGAGGGAGTATCAGCCACCAGCCGAAGAGCAGCGCGACCCATCCGCCGCCCAGGTGCACCGGCTTTGGCATCCAGGAGATACTGGGGCTGAATAAGGAGCCGTCCGCGGCCCCGAGGAGCCCGCTGAGCTCGCTGCCGGTCGGGGCGCACCTGATCGCCGCTAGGTCTTTGTTGGGCCCCGTCGGCATGGGTGTGGGTGTCGGCATGGGATTATTCGACCCTGGTAGAATTCCGTCGTTTTACAGACAACCAGCGTTTTTGGAGACTGTGCTGTCGAACGCACATGATGTTCACCTGCAGCCCCACAGCAGGTCCGTAGGGCCGCTGGACACCAGTCAGTCTGCCAGCTCAGGTGATGTGATCTCAGTCTATTCATTCATTTTAAATACTGATCTCACTGATATGCCATTTTCATATTTCCAACCTGCTTCTGTGCGTGTATTGTCATTTTTTCACATTGTATTATTATTATTATTATTGCTGTTGTTATTGTTAATGTTATTATTACATTTTGTGGCAGTATATAAAATAACTGTTGTGAAATGGCTTAATAAAATAGCAGTGTTGTTTCAGTGTCAACTGTTATTTATTACATTTTGTTTTTTAGGTTAAAAAATGTTATTAAATCTAATGCTTTTTTCTGTTCCTTGTTTCAAATCCAGACTCAGATGATTTGTCTTCAAATGAAAGAAAACTCTCAAAGTCATCAGTAAGTCAAAGCAAGAAACGGAAGAAAAGACGCCACCGGTTAGTGCTGATTTGTGATTATGGCAAATGTTATTTTGTTTAGAAATGAGACCAATTCTTAGAAATTCACGACTGTATTTTCAAAGTAACGAGTAGCCTACAAAAATCAATGTGCAATGCTTTCTCTCAAGTTCATTTTTAGTTTTTAAGCTTATCAAAACAGACAATGAACTAGTCAAATCACTGATTTTATTATAAATTAAACGCAGATCGCTTGTGTTTTCTGACATCCAATGCATGTTCTGTTTGGTTTGCTACATTTCTCACACCCATGCACATGGATAATAAAAGTCCTCGTTTATAGAAATCAACTCTTATTTATATAAATGTGTTCAATGTTGCTTTACCTTTTTTAATTTTTTATTTACGTCTTTATTAAAATCAGACTGGCTTGATTCCTGCAGCACACAATATATGATGTCCAATATGTCCACATAGTAATAACCCGTTTCCACAGGACCATATTCACCTCATATCAGTTGGAGGAGCTGGAAAAGGCCTTTAATGAAGCGCACTACCCTGATGTTTATGCCCGGGAGATGTTGGCCATGAAAACAGAGCTACCTGAAGACAGGATACAGGTACCACTCTAGTCAGGCACTCTGATAATAATAATAATAATAATAATAATAATTCTGCATCATTCAATCGATAGTTTGTACTTGTAGATGTTAGACCTGGAACCATCAATTTCTTTTGTAACATACACAGTTGTTGTGTTTCACTCCATTTTCATTTTTATCGAGACAGCCCTTTAGGGTTCACTAACTATTAGAAATCAAGCTTTATTTTAAATATTTTAATTATATATCCTACATCAAGAAGTTATAAGGCACTGAGCCTACTTTTAGACACCTTCATTCCAATAAAAATGCAAAATCTGAAATCATTCTTTTTTTTCTTTCTTTCTTTCTTTCTTTCTTTTTGGCTGTAATCTAGAAGCAAAATACTCAAATAGGTCCGTCAAATATTTTTTTTAAAACACGTTTATCTATAATCTCCTTTGAGATGCTCTCTGCTAAATATATAACATATAATGCTTGGCTAATCAAAGCAAAATAAAGGCACGTATTAAGTCAAAGCATCTTAGCCAATAATCATTGTACAGATTGGATATTGTTATATTCTAGACTGACACTGCACATCGAAAATCACACATCATAGACCATTCTTGTAATAATAATAATAATAATAATAATAATAAGTGTTTTTAAAACACATCTCATTCTTTTCTATTTGGTGTGTGTGAATGCTATAAGGCAAATATTATTGTCGGCCTTATGAATGTTCACCTGTAATTGTTCACCTCCTGTAATATGTGAGCACGTGCCGCCGGCTGCTCTAACGTTTAAGGGGAGATGGGCGAAGTGAGTCCCCGCAAATCGATCAGCGAAGCTCCCCTCCTGTCTGAACAAAGAGCGCTCTCCTCCCGCATTCCTCGCCAGGATAGATGATCTCTCATCGGGCGCAGTTGGATGTGAAACAATTTGTTCTCGGAGAAGGAGCCGCTAACGACCTAATCAAGCTATCAAGGCGGAAGAAGATTGCAGTGTGACCTGGACCATCCATCTGCCGGGGCGCCTTTTAATCTCGTTCTCATTACGGGCTGCAACAGCACAGCCGCAAATAAATAATAAAAAAGGAAATAAATAAATAAGCCCAGGCCTGCTCCTATCCTAAATAACATGAACACCCAATTTCTCATTGAGTGTAATTAGTTAAATCAGACGAGCTCGGGAGGCTGGCTGGCTGCTGGAGGTACGCGGGGAGCTCAAATGAAATAACTACATTGAATTTATTAGCACGGGTCAATAGCGCTGCTCCCCCGAGTCCCGGTAGTTTAATTTCCCGTGATATTTGCCCGCCTGCCCGCCATCGATTGGGCCTGAAATTAACTTATTTTTCAATCAGCCTCGGCGTGCCCCTGGGTCACTCCTCGTCACAGCTTCCACGCGCGGGCTTCTTTTGAGGAAAGAGAAGCAATTTCTCATATAAAAAAAAGTACCTTGTATGAAATAAGGGTTATCATCAGAATTATCAGGAGGAAAAAAAAAAAAGCATGAAAACGGTTTGATCGTTTTCCATTTAATACCCCCCCCCTACCCCTTCCTCTCTGCACAGAGCCATCAGAGGTGCCTAAGTGTTTAACAATCCTGTGTTGTGCTATGCTATCAATTTGGCCTCTCTCTGAGCTGACAGATAGCCTGCAGAGCCTTAAGCAGTTGCTGGCTGTGGCCAAGTGAAGTGTCATGGTGTGTCAAACCATCTATAACGCGGCCACAGGTAGCTACAGATCAGCTGTGACAGGAGGCACAGATCCTTCACACCTGTAGCCAGCAGCTTATGGGAAATCAATGGACTCAATCCAAACGGTGCACTTGTTATCTCCAGTTACTACGAATCACAGAGATTCCCAAATGGGTCGTCTTTGAAATACACTTTTCATGCACAAACAATAGTACAACGTTAACAACGGCTTAAGTAATGGTTAATAAATAATGTAGGCTACTATAGCTTTGCAGGTCAGAAGCTTTTTGGGTTGTGAAAAGTCCCATTTGATGATCCTTTCTAATAATGCAGTTATAAATGTGTGAATGCATTAATAGATACTGAGGTTAATATGGGTTTACACTTTATAATAAGTCCTCATGTTTGCAGCTCTAAAATGGCGGCAGAGGATACAGACCAAAATCCAAACAGAAAGAATAAACAGCTGCCACCTGGACTTTTCTCAACCTAATAACCCAGAATCTATAGTCCTATAACTGACACTACATTACATGAGTAGTAAATCATATGTTAGTTATTGATAAAGCCAAAACCTCTTTAAGGTGCCTCATTAGAAAGCGGTACCCATAGTTGCATCTTGCACATTTTGCACAAGGACATTCAAATTGCACACTGCAGTTGGATTTTTTTGCAACCCTCAAATGAAACCAATAATCAGACATTTCCAAACTATTAATTGTAAGCCTAATCATTATAGATGATAGACAGCATTTCATTTCAAGAGTGTAAATGTTTTGTAGCCAAACTAACCAAAACTAATCCAATACACACGAGTTATTTGTCTCATATGGAGGTGAAGGTGAAGGCGCTGGTGACTAATAACTGGTCGTTGTGTCCTCCTGTTACAGGTATGGTTTCAGAACCGCAGAGCCAAGTGGAGGAAGAGGGAGAAATGCTGGGGCCGCAGCACTGTGATGGCTGAGTACGGGCTGTATGGAGCCATGGTGAGGCACTCCATCCCCCTGCCAGAGTCCATCCTCAAGTCTGCCAAGGACGGCATCATGGAGTCCTGCGCCCCCTGGCTGCTCGGTGAGGCTGCTGTCCTACTGTTTCCCCATGCATTCAGCATCATTGTCTCACTGTGTCAACAGTTCATGGTTGTTCTATGTGGAGAGTATATGTACCTCATTATTAAATCGTAGCAGTACAGCATTTCTACGTGACTGTTATTCACGCGTAGTCATAACCGTGGTGGAGTGATGGGCTGATACAGTGTGTAGGGACTTATGGCAGATGCTCTAATTGTAAAGCAGCGAAACTTTAAAATACAGAGAACGTGGTATAGACTCTGCAATACTTAAGACATTTTCATCCTTGACGCTGGTCACGCCTTGCCCATCATCGATTTTAAACATTAAATTCTGAACCGGAACTATTTTTGCTATTTTTCAGTCCAAGATGGCTTACCAATCAACAGACGCTATTCTAAATCTGAATACCCGCAACTCTTTGCAGGGATGCACAAAAAGTCCACGGAGACAGCAGCCCCCCCACCGGCAACAGGACAGTGTGACGCGCCCCAGCAGCCGAGCTCTCAGAGGGCGGAAGAAGCCGAAGCGGAGGAGAAGAGGTCAGAGGGCAAGTCCACCATTTCTAAAGAGGAACTGAGAGAGAACAGCATTGCTGCACTCAGGGCCAAGGCACAGGAGCACAGTGCCAAAGTGCTGGGGACGGTTTCTCAAGACAGACTGCTGGAGGGCAAACAGGAGAGACAGGTGGCCGAGGAGAAAGCCGGTGATCCCCTGAGTCCCGCGGAGGAGGAGAAAAGTCCCTAGAGACTGCCACGTTCCTGTGGACTGATAATGTCATGAGTGAATGCAGTGGGCTGCACTTCCCCAACATAACTCGCTGTCCTGCAGGTGTTCATCCCTCATTGACTTCTCTATAACTGGCCTGCGTGTGGACTTCTTTAAGAAGAAAACTCATCCGGCCACTGCTGCACACACAGAGGATGCAAAATGCACTTTTTCTGATTTACTTCCAAAATCCACAGTTGTTGTTGCTTAATGCGTAGTAGAGAAGATTTGACTGAGTGGGAGTAAAGTGTTAATACTGGTGTATATAGATCCCACAGTTATATAGAGAGTCAGATGAGTCAAATTAAATCGAGTACAACAGTTATATCATATTAATCAGGACTACCTGCGACCCATGAGCAGTCAAGTGCATTTCATTCTCGGCATTCATTTTAATGTTGCTTGCACAGATACTGAATGGTGACATTTCAGATACAAACCGACAGAAAGTAATTGTTGTCCTATTTCACACTGTATATACTTGATATATTAATCTCTCCTCACCGAGGCGCAATTTGACATAATGTTTACTTGTAGTCCTAAGAAATTGTTTGTGTTTTCATTTCAAAATATGTATAACTCAAAATACAAAATCATAAAATACAAATAGCCTTTTATTAAGTGTGGCTTTTTGGTGTCTATTTGTTCTGCCTTCCTTTCAAACAAATGGTCAGCTGTCAAGGCACTGCTGAAACACAAAGTTGGAGAAGCCACTTGTTGTCACTTGATGCTCTGCCGGCTGGGCTCATTAGGACACGGTCTGCGGCTGCATGCTTGGATTAGCCCCTATAATCCGTCGCAGATGAGAGCCTTCACTTCCAGATTAAACTGAGGGACCAGTGCTTTTGGGACGGGAAAGAGAGGGAAAGCAAACCCCTCCGAACGGGATGACCTCAGCCCGATTTCAAATCACTTTAATATGCTATTACCAGCCGACTCGCAAGCTGTTTCATCCTCTTATCCAAACACAAAGTCTAACAGCTTTACTTGTTGGCGATCTTCATTTTCCAAATAAAGCTATACATCACGCCACTTCATCTCAGCTTTACAACACGCCTATGTGTCTGCATTAGCTGTAATCCATATCACATTTTAAACGTCACCCTCAGTCAGCTAATGGGGCTTCCTAATGAGTTGAACAATTAAGTTCTACTCCAATTAGACAGAGTGCAATTTCAAAGGGCAAGGGACGCCTGTTATCAGTGTGCTGCTGCATGTCTCAGCACTGAATGGCCCTCAGATTGGAACCATAATGTCACCCGATGGGGAAAAGGTTGCTAATTAGGTTGTTGACAGAGATAAGTATACACACCGTAACTAATGATGGCTATAGGAAATGGACTGGAGTGTGTCAGAGTAACAGGAAATGTTGCTAGAATGAACCTGGGGCCTATACTTGCAATGAATAAAGTTCATTGCAAGTAAAAGGACAGCGAGCAGGGATTCTCCTTTCTCATTCCTATGGACACATTTCCTCCTATGATTGAAGGTGTGCATGAGCCTTCACAAGAATGAACCTGGGAGTAGCATTTGAAAAGACCGTATATAGAGAGGCATGCTTGAGATTTGAAGGGTGGATTTCCGATGGAGAGCTCATGCCACAACATTAAAGAAGTTTTGTTTTACATTCAAACCTGGAAAGACAGATACACTTCAGACAAATCCTCCCCAAGCTGACAAAGAGTCAGTATCTTGAGCAGAAGTGTCCCTTCACACACATAGTCTTGAACCTGACATCACTGGTTAGAGGCTAATTGTATTGCCTGCTTCTTTCACCATTCTGCAGTTTAACAACATGTGTAATTTCCATTTTCTAAGTCACCAAATGTTAGATATAACCAAGAGTGATTTAAGGGTGGTAGTGTCAGTCTGTCCACTGCTTTGCCCACTCTGAATTGTCTTAACAATGGTGGAATGGATTGTCATGACACACATTCCCTCAAGATTAACTATAAAAACTTTGGTGAACCCTTCACTTCTTCGTACAGTGCCATCAGCAGGTCAACATTTTAATTTGTTCAATACTTACAGGAATTAGAACATGTTGTTTAGTCTTAACTTTCAAGATTATTAAACTCACATTTTAAGCAGTAAACGTCATAAGAAATATGATTTTGCACATCCTCTTTTAAGGTGGAATTCTCATTAAACATCTCAATAGCCATTTTAGCTGGAGTGACAGAAGTGGTTTGCAATACTGAGCCCTCACCTCCACAGGCCCTCAACCCAATTCATTTATTGAGGCCAAGACATATACAGTGAGGATTATTCCTCTAAGTGCAAAGCTATTTAATCCCCTGAGAGTGGAATAGAAGGTTATGATAAATCAGATTTGCTGAAGATCAAGCTGTTTACATTGGATATGAGGAAGTAATTCACAGTATCCCTGATGGACAGTCTGCTTGTTGAAGACCATCAGAAGATCATTTCAATCCATGCAAAGCGAGATCAGAGGGATGTTTATGGAAAGATTTCAACTAATGCAACATTAGCATTCAATTTCTTTTTGATGGGGTGGTGAGGAATATGATTTCATTGGTGAGATTAAGTGCATGCTGATCATTTTGAGAATACTCTGGGCTCCAGATGCTGCTGAGTTCAGATCAAACGCAAGATGTAGTTAAACTGAATGTGGTGTTGTTCTGCCCTCTGCTGCACAGACTTATCAGTACAACCACATTTCAGAACTATTCACAGATGGCTTTTGTTGGAGCTCGACCTTTCTTATATTATTTCTTCCATTTTTGAACAATAACAAGGCTATTTATGCATCCCTTTTGTGCTCCAAAGTGTCTATGGGAATTCATTTGTAATCAACTTATTTCAAATACTCCTAGGCAGTGTGGACACATGGACGTTTTTTTTATACCTGCACTTTTTGCGTATTCTTTTTTAAATCGTTAATGTCACTTTTGCTTAAATATGATCCTACTTTTCACTGCATTGCTACATTTGAAGTTGCATACGCTACATAGTAAAATCAAAAGTCACATGTAGAGTCAGCCTGATAAACTGTGTGAGAATGGAACAGAAGAAAAGGAGACAATCAGCAGCTGTAGCAGTGGAGAAGCTGCAGGGGCCACAGGAAGGCAAAGCTCCACGTGCAGAGAGGTGACACTCCGGAAATGATTCGTTATAAATGTTTGAGTTCACGGGCCGCCGCGTTCACGGGCCGGGGCCACTTTAAGCATAATACAATGAAGCATCACACATGGGGTGTAGTTATGAGGAGTTCATGTTGTTTACATATCGACGTTATCTGCTTTGGTGATGGTTTATTCAAATGTTGATTGTAAAATACGTTTCAGGCACCGTTGTGCCCATATCTCGTTTTATTTATTGTTTATTTTCGTTTCATCGTCTGAGTTTTGTGTCTTTTCTGGTTGGTTCTTGTGAGGCTACACTGAGGGCTGTTGTCTATTTTGAATTGATTATCAGTTGTATGCACAGACTGCAGACTGTCGGTTTGGACTGAGGGGTTCTTGGTGCTGATGTTGGTCCACTTGTTTATAAGTTTATATTTAATGTAATCTCTTTTGTAACCTAAAGATGTTCTTTAAGTTAACAGAAGTATCATATCATCACCTCACACTGTTACGTGTACCCAGAGTACACTGATTCACTTTTTACCTTTTTACTTTTACTTACGTTTTTACACAAGTATTTGATTTTAAGAGTAAAATGTCTTTTAAAGTAGCAATACTTTTACTTGAGTATAATATTCTAGTACTGTTTCCACCTCTGTTGCTACTTTACTATGTACTTCTTTTTTTAAAGTTACAAATCCAGCTGTCATGAACCAGATGTAACAACGACTGGATTTTAAAATTCATTCATACAACTAAGCTGTCTGGTAGTGGTAAAAAATAAAATGCACTGAATATGCTAAATATCATCAAAAACAAGTATTTATTTTTTCTCCCTACAGTTAACTCTTGATCTTGGATAGCACAGATGAAGACATTGAGTCTTCTTTGTGATAAAGTTGAATTCTCTGGAGAAAGTCAGGAGATAGACCTTGTGCTGAAATGAGATAAAATACATTTTACTGTTCCCAAGGTGACATTTTGCTTGGGCAATATAGGAAAGAAATCTTGAGGCTATTTTTACATTTGCCTGCTCTGAAACGTCTACCTGAAGATAGTAGCGTGAACTCTAGGGCTGTAAGAAAATGTCCCCACACTTGAGTATCGCAATATTATGTTTTGTGACATAGCATTGTTGTAATCTTCAGCCATGGATAATGACTGCTCCTGTAATATGATGAATGCAATGAAGCCACATCTTTATACTATGACAGTTTTCCTAAAATTAGATTTTAAAAATTGCAACATATTATCTTGCTTACAGTATCGTGATATGTTGAACCATAACCCCTGTATCATGATCCATATCGTATCGCCAGATTCTCTATATGTGCCTCAATATAAACACATGAATATACTGTGTACAGTATTTATACTGTATTCTGTATAATACATGCACATAAACATGCATACACAAAGTTTATGCATGTGTTTACAGGATGCATGTGCTTAATAGCATATGTATGAGAAGTTACACTATGTAGACTATGCTGTGTGTGTGTGTGTGTGTGTGTGTGTGTGTGTGTGTGTGTGTGAGAGACAATGTGTGTCTACATGTTTATACACAGACATACCAGCAGTACATGTATATTCACATTCATACATATTCGCATTTGTCTTTGAGTCTTTTAATGTTAATGTTTCATTGAAAACGGGCCTTGAGCGCTTCGTCTTACTGCCTGCGTGTAGTGCCGCATTTCATCCACAGGGGGTCAGTCTTGAGCTTCTTTCCAAATCAGAACCCCTTTATGAATTTGTGGTCAGGTGAATTACATTACAAGTTCACAGTTACATCTTTTCTATAATACAGTCAATATATGAAAATCCTGCTGCTACAACACTGCGCACATCTTGACATCGATTCATATCTGTCCGGCTGGGGGAAAAAGGGTTATATTACAATTTTTACAGCAGACATGATCCTGATATCTTGATCAATATTCTCATTTCTCGTCACTCCTCTGGTGCTCTCTGTGATGAGGCTGTCAGCTGTGGGTTAATGGAGACGGGATTGATACTGCGGCTAAATGATCCGCCTTGGCTGGGGGCTGATTTCATCTCCAAGGTTCTTCTGTTTTTTCTCCAAAGCCATCCAAAGGGTTTGATCACACAGAGCCAACCAGCTCTCTTTTACGCTTCACTGGGTAAAAACCATCACCTCAGTGCTGCAAACTGGCTGGAATCAGTATTCCGAGGTTGTGCAGTATATTTGCGGGTGTTTTATTTGTGATGGTGCTAATATCGCCTCACAAGCCTTTCGATTAAGCAGCTGATTGAAGTCTGGTGTAGATGTCTGTGGTGTATCGAGTACTACTCTGTGCTTTCATTATGAGCTATTAAAGTCTGAATACA